AACAACCAATTTCTTCAGTCTGAAATTGATCAAATATGCAATTAAAATGTATTAATAATTACTGGTGATTGAAATGCAAAGATTGGAAACAAAGAAGAAGGATCAATAGCTGGAAAATATGGCCTTGGTGATAAAAAGTATACTAGAGATCACATGATAAAAGGTAAAAGAGCTGAACAGAAAATTCAAAGGACAATTCAAAGACAAAGTCAAATATTAGAATGAAATGAGCAAAGATCTGAAGTTAGAAAACCAAAAGGAAACAACACACTCAGCATTTCTTATAAGCTGAGATGAAGCTTAAGAAATGAAAGAAAAAAAAATCTAAGCCTCAACTTGCAATATTGAAGGATGCTAAAGACAAAATATCGACTGATACAGGAAGCATCCAAAGAAAGTGGAAGTAATACATAGCATCAACCATTTGAAGACGTAGCATCTGATCAAGAGCCAGTGGTACTGAAGGAAGAAGTCCAAGGGACACTGAAGGCATTGGCAAAGAACAAGTCTCCTGAAATTAATGGGAAAAATTAAAATTGTACCAAACTGATGCAGCACTGGAGGCACTCACTCATCTATGCCAAGAAATTTGCACAAGATCCATTTTTATGCCCATTCCCAAGAAAGGTGGTGCAACAGAATGTAGAAATCATCAGACAGTAACATTAATATGCAAGTAAAATTTTGCTAAAGATAATTCAAAAACAGCTGCAGTAGTCCATTAACAGGGAGCTGCCAGAGGTCTAAGCCAGTTTCAGACAAGGATGTGGAAAGAGGGATGTCATTGCTGATGTCAGAATGATTGTGGCTAAAAGCAAATACCAGAAAGATGTTTTTACTTGTGCTTTATTGACTTTGCAAAGTCTTTCTACTATATGGATCATGACAACCTATGGAGAACATTGCAGAGAATGAGTATTCTGAAACACATAATTGTGTTCATGAGGAAACTGTACATAGGCCAAGAAAGAGACAGTCATTCAAACAGAACAAGGGGACACTGGTTTAAAACCAGGAAAGTGAGCCAGGTTTGTATTCTTTCACCACATTTAATCAATCTGTATGCAGAACAAGTAATCTGAGAAGCTGGATTATATGAAGATTATATTAGCATCAGCCTTGGGGGAAGACTCACTAATAACCTGTGATATGAAGATCATAGAACCTTGCAAAGAAGACTTAAAATCCTTACTGATGAAGATCAAAGACCACAGCCTTCAGTATGGGTTGCACTTCAGTGTAAAAAAAAAACAAAATCCTCACCACTGGACTGATAAATGGAGAAAAGATTAAAGTTGTCAAAAACTTCATTTTGCTTGGATCCACCATCAACACTCATGGAAGCAGCAATCAAGAAATCAGTGGACACACTGCATTAGGCAAATCTGCTGCACAAGAACTCTTTAAAGTGTTCAAGAGTAAGGATGTTGGTTTGAGGACTAAGGTGCCTCAAACTCACTCAAGCCATGCTATTTCAATGTGAAAGTTAGACAGTGAATAAGAAAGGCCATAGAAGAATTGATGCCTTTGAGTTATGGTGTTGGAGAGGAATATTGAAAGTACCATGGACTGCCAAAAGAATTAACAAATCTGTGTTGGAAAAAAGTACAGCCAGAATGCTCCTTAAAAGCCAGGAAGGCCAGACTTCATCTCTCATTGTTGTTGTTGTTGTCAGGTGCCATCGAGTCGGAACCGACTCATAGCGACCCCATGCACAGCAGAACGAAGCAATGTCTGATCCTGGGCCAACCTCACTACCCCTGCCACACTTGACACCGTCAATGATGCCACCTGGCCGATCCATCTTGTTGGGGGTCTTCCTCTTTTTCTCTGACCCTCCATCTTACCCAGTATGACATCCTTCTTAGTGACTGTTCTCTCCTGACAATATGTCCAAAGTATGAGAGACGAAGCTTAGCCATCTTGGTCTCCAAGGAGCACTCTGGCTGCACTTTTTCCAAAACAGATCTATTGGTTCTTTTGGCAGCCCATGGCACTTTTAGTATTCTCCTCCAACACCACAATTCAAAGGCATCAATTCTTCTATGATCTTCCTTATTCACTGTCCAGCTTTCGCATCCATATGAGATTATTGAAAATACCATGGCTTGGGTCAGGCGAACCTTAGTCCTCAAGCTGACATCTTTGCTTTTCAACACTTTAAAAAGTTCCTGTGCAGCAGATTTGCCCAATGCAATACATCGTCTGATCTCTTGACTGCTGCTTCCGTGAATGTTGATAGTTGATCCAAGAAGAATGAAGTCCTTGACAACTTCAATCTTTTCTCCGTTGATAAGAATGTTGTTTATTGGTCCAGTGGTGAGGATTTTTGTTTTCTGGACATTGAGAAAACAAAAGGAACATACCGAAGGCTGTGTTCCTTGATCTTCATCAGTAAATGTTTCAAGTCCTCTTCACTTTCAGCAAGCAAGGTTGTATTATCTGTATATCGCAGGTTGTTAATGAGTCTTCCTCCAATCCTGACGCCACGTGGCATCATCTCTCATACTTCAAGCATATTATCAGGAGGGACCAGTCCCTGGAGAAGGACATCATGCTCAGTAAAGTGGAGGGTCAGCAAAAAAGAGGAAGACCCCAATGGGATGAATTTGCACAGTGGCAGCAGCAGTGGGCTCCAGCTTAACAACAATTGTGAGAATGGCCCAGGATCAGGCAGTGTGTTCTCTTGTGCATAGGTTCACTATGAATGGGAACCAACTTGGGAGCTCCAAACAACAACAGGAGTCAGAACTGAACCCACAACAGTTAACAAAAACAGCCCAATCATTAGGTGGGAATTAGACATTGGATAGAAAAGCTATTATCAAATACATCAAGGTACCACACAGCCCAACTCATGACCCATATACCACCAAAGCGCCTACAGATAGCTCTCTTCTTGTTGTTAAGCAACTTGTTGTTCGAAGTACAGTGTTGATTCTATAGTGCCATACCAGGAGTCCACTAGGGGTATCTTCATGTTGTTATTAAGTGCTATCAAGTCAGTTTCAACTCATAGCTACCCTATATAGGGTTTCTGAGGAGCAGCTAGTGTGTTTGAACCACTGACCTTCAAACCAACCTTGAGTCCAGCGCCACACCAGTGCTCCTGGGGTATCTCATTACTGCTGCTAAGTGCTGTGTAGTCAATTCTGAGTCACAGCTACCCTGTATAGAGTTTCTCAGGTTTTAAATCTTCATGGGAACAAAAAGCTACATCTTTTTCCCACGGAGTGGCTTTTAGGCTCAAACCACCAACTTTATGGTTCGCAATCCTGTCCTTACTGTATAGAGCTACCGCGCTTCCAGGGGTATCTTGTTGTTGTTAAAGTGCCGTCGAGTGGATTCTGACCCATAGGGACCCTGTACAGAACAGGCGGTAGGTTTTAACGCTGACCTTGTGGTTCACAGTCCAGTGCCACACCAGGAGTCCAGAGTCTTTGTTGTTGTTTTAAGTGCCGTCAAGTCAGTTGCCACCCAGTGACCCTGTATAGCGTTCCTAAGTAGCAGCTGGTGGGTTTGAACTGCCAACTTTGTGTTTCGCAGTCCAGTTCTGAACCTCCAGAGCCACACCAGGAGTCCCAAAATAACTAAGATACTTAAATGTGTCCTTCCACAATGTTTATGTGATGTTAGATCAAAATTTCATGAAAATGGGAAGTGGAGCCACATCTGAGGAGAAATAGAAGAGGCTGCAGGGAGGGAACTCAGAGCAAACGGGGATCATTATGGTGGGAAGAAGACAGGAGCAGGCTTTCAAACACCAAGATAAAAATGGGAGTTCCTCCTTCTCCTGAAAAAGTCTTCCAAACAAAATCACAATTCTGTATTTCAAACATCATAGAAATGCCATTTAGAAAACACCTCATATTATCTGTTGATAATACTTAGTTGGTACTCTTTCCTGTTGTTGTGAAGTGCCGTCGAGTCGGGTCTGACCCATAGTGACCCTGTATAGGGTTTCCGAAGAGCAGCTGGTGAGCCTGAACCACCGACCTTTTGTATCAAACGGACTTTGCGGTCCAGCACATTAACCCACAGTGCCACACCAAGACTCTTTCCTATGTCACCATTATAAAGCAGAATGTGTTAGTGATTAAGATTATAAAATACAAATTTAGCAGAAATAGTTTATGTTATACCTGAGTGTTGTATTCTTAAATTTATAGTAAATAGACTTTTTTTGTGTGAAATTGACATTTAAGTTTTGATTGTTGTTTTTTTAATTTGTATGAAGATATTTTATTTATTGTTAGCAACTAAAATTTTGATGCCTTTCCAGTTTCTATTTATACATTTTAATCATTGAAAGGAACAATTTATTTTAATGAGTTATGGTACATATTAAAATTTCTATGAAGGAAGAAGTATAAAAATTCCACTTTCAATACTGAAATCAATTTTGTCAAACATATAGTTGGGTCTTCAGTGTGACAACTGATGCTGTAGGAGACTTGTAACTGTGAGTTTTCATTCTCAAGTAGATGCACGACTCTTCCCACTATTTGTTTCATCTTGTGTGAGCCGTGACGATTTGTACTTCTAGTCTAAGTCATCATATACATGGACATAAAGTTTTTCATAGTAGTTATAATTATCATTGTTAATTAACCTTTTCATACTGATAGGACCAGCAGTGACACCACCTCTTCATCCCTGAGATTGATGCTTGTACCTTTTCTTTATTTTTCTTGTTCAGTTTGGCTAGAGATTTATCTATGTTCTTCAACAGAAATGTTGGAATATAATTTATAGAATAGGAAAAGTATAAAACCATTGCCCTCTTAAAACTATTTGGAATAAAAATTCATATTATCATGGCTTGAGTAGAATCGTTAAGAGCATACTTGAATTTTAAATGCCCAGGTGATTTCTAAGACTCTCAAAGGAGTTACCCAAACAAAAGATTTGGTGACTCTCTTGGATTATGCCTTTGTGAAAGCAAAAAAAATAATAAAAAGGTACTGACAAGATCTATTTTCTGGTTTTCTTGCTTTCAGACTTCGCATATCATTTAAATGGATGGTTCGAGCTTTCTCTGGATACTTAGCTACAGATCAGCTCTTGCTTCTGTGGGATCGAATCTTAGGCTACAATTCTTTGGAAATCCTTGCTGGTAAGAGTAAGTGCTTGCTTGTACCGCACACACTGTTTCTATAGGAAGGCCCCTTTCCTTTCTTTCACCATCTGTAATCTGTTTGAATCTACATCTATATGGTAATTCCAAATGCAAGAACATTGAGTAGATTTCTGACTTAGAAAGCAAGTACTAAGTTTCTGGGATATACTTCTGACTGCTCAGAATGAGTCGTCCTAACCCTTTTGGCTCCTAGGAAAGTCCATGATGCTTTGCTTTCCACTCCCTTGTGTTAATCCAGTCAGAACCTTCTGTCTGCCAGCCCGAGAGGTCTGTGCAGCAGGTGGAGGAATGCTCTGCTCTTCTCCACACCCAAGTTCTGTCCTGCTCAGCGAAGACCTGAAAGCCAGCCTCAGACGGAGCCTCCTGCATAGCCGATGTCAGTTACCTGGGTCTACTCTCTGGGCCTGTTCGTCCTGAATGCAAGCACTTTTCCTTTTTTTCTAACAGCCTCTGACATCTGTCCTGGTGGTTGAGTTTTCACTTTTAACTATTCTCTTAGACCAGAAAGCTTTTAATTTTTTTTTTTTCAAGAAGCCACCAACTCAGCTATTTAATAATTAAAGCCATTCTTAATAGATATACACAAAAGGCAACTGTGCTATTACACTAGAGAAAACTCAAAAGGCACAGATTGCTTATCAGTTATGTTATTTTGCTTCCCTTGTGCTTAATAGACTCAATTATTGTTCTCATTGGCCTTATCAGAAGTCTAAGTAGCCATGACAAGGTTTTCATAGCATGGATGGTGAGTGAACAAGTTGGCGGTCGTGTGTCCTTCTAGAGTGATATGGGCTGAACCACTGGTGTGACCTCTACGAGAGGTCAGATTGTAAAAGCATCTCTGGACTAGTATGGAAATACTGCTCAGTTCAAGAAGAAGATTCTCTGGGTATCATATTAATATATGCTGAAATGCTCAGAGCTCTCTAGAAAGTGGGTGTCATTCTGAAAAGGAAAGCTGGAGTATCAATATAAGTGCTAAGGAGAGAACTGTTCCTCTGGTGTAACCGGAGACGTTCCTAACTGATATTTTTACAACTCAGTATCCTTCTCTCTCCATTTATTTCATACCCATGTAAATATGAATTATAAGAGAATGAACTGTGCCCATGTCTTTTGGTCGAATTGTAGTAACATATGGAAGGGACCCTAAAGATAATTAAGTATAAAAAACCCCAAGTCTGTTCCAACTCATTGTTGCTAAGTGCTGTGGAGTTGGTTGCACCTCATAGTGACGCTGAATAGGGTTTCCAAGGAGCAACTGGTGGGTTTGAACTGCTGACCTTTTGGTTAGCAGTCCAATACTCATCCTAAGCACCACAAACCACTCATAGCAACTCTATAAGGCAGAGTAGAACTGCTCCACAGCATTTCCCAGGCTATAAATTTACCAAAGCAAACTGCCTCATCTTTCTCCTGTGGAGTGACTGCTGGATTCAAACCAGTGACCTTTCAGTTAGTTCGTAGCTCAGTGCTTACCCCACTGCATTGCCAGGACTCCTTAATCAAGGGTGGTGTTGTTAAGAGCTGTCAAGTTGGTCTCAACTGGTAGGTTCCTGAGGAGCAACTAGTGAGTTTGAACCACCCACCTTTTGGTTCAAACTAGCCTCGCAGTCCTGTGCTTATCCTACAGTGCCACATCAGGACTCCTTTAAACACTTCTGACACTTCAGTGCTGAGCAGCCCCTGCTTACCCATTGTTGATGTTGTTAGGTGCCATAGAGTTAGTTCTGACTCATAGCGACCCTACACACAACAAAACAAACGAGTGCCAGTCCTGTACCATCCTCCTCATCATTGCTGTTTGAGCCCATTGTAGCCTATTGTGTTTCTAGAGACTATGACTTGTTGAATCGTACTGCAAAGAAACCAAAGTCGTTATCTCTTGTTTCCATTCAGGAATCCGCTGCCTCGCCTCAAAGTTTTTGGTTTTCTAGGTTAAGAAGCCTCATTTTCTGCTATGTAGACCGATTTTAGAATTTTTCACCAAACAACTCTCAGGAAACAGGATTTTAGACTTTTCACAAAATAGCTCTCCTATGGGTGTTCCCTGTACCAAAAGGAAACGGTTAATGTTCAACCATTTCAAGAGATACCATATGAACAAGAGCCAATGATACTCAGAGAGGAAGTCCAAAGTGCATTGAAAGAAGTGGCAAAGA